GCTCTTCGTCGAAGCCCCAACCTTTGGAGTTTGGAGTATATATTTTAATAAACTAAAAATACTAAACTCTAAATATAAAAAAAGGATCTAAATACTAATTAAATGGATGGTTTACTTAGTTGTAACACAAATGGGTTGGTTTTCTTGAGATCCGGGTTCAAATTTCCTTTGCGAATTATTTTTTAATTCAGAATATCCAAAAACTGTTTCGGGTACCGAAGATATTATAAGCCAAAGGTTTGGAACTTCTACGGTTTATCAATTTTCTTTTTAGTAGTGCAAAACGTTTAAGTAAATGACTACGACTAGCACATCCAAAATTTTTTCACTCAACTACCACCCCGGTGTCTATATCAAGTTCGAGTAATCTGAAAATGAGCAGATTCTTTGATATAATTTTTTCGAAAACCCTCTCGGATACCTTGGAATCGAAACCTTCCAAATGGCCACAAATACAATAATTTTTTTCAAAAGTGAAATCGATAATCAATAATCACTTGATAAATTATATTTATTTAATCTTCACACTACAATTTAACCCATTTTGTTCTTACTTGATACTAGTATCTTAATTTTGTAAGAGTTACTTGTATGAGGAAAACAATCACTACACACACTTCGCTACCAACATTTGAACAAGTCATTTGAAGACCAAATATGGGGAAAACGCAAGAAAAGTTTTCATCTCAATTCAATCCTTAGTTAGATCAACACCCTTCACCTAATTCTCCATTTAATAGCACCACCTAAACGCCACGTGTCCACTACTTCTTTGGAACATCTCATTGTGAATTCTAGAATTATAAGAGCATCTGCATTGATAAAATTATACGGGGTTCTAAACTAAGAAATATGATTATTTTAATATAATTTATCTATTTAATTAAAATTTAATATTTTTTTAAAAAATAAATCATTTATAAGTTGACATGTGTGACTAGAATCTCTCTATAATCTCTCATTTGAAAGGCTCGAATCCCTCTTTCTCCAACATTTCATATTTTTTCTTATTTTTATTCTTAAGAAACTCCATAAAAACTTCTTCTCATTGGACATGGTCATCCCAATTGAATTAAAAAACGACAAAAATCCAAAACGCATTTCCATCCGAACGCTAAAAATATTATTGTCAACAACACAAACCTAACAGATTTACATGATGCAACTCACAATACAAGACATAAACCCTTCGTGTTCACACTCGTTAAACTTCT